ACGATTTAGCGTACACTTCAAGGCACATTCAAAGAGTTGGCATATTATATCTAGATGTAACCGACCCTACGTAACCCTTGGTATCCCCTGGCAGAATATAAGCCAAGGGTTTTGTTGGTAGAAGAAAGTTAGATTCATTCATACGATCTTGAGGTAGGTCATCGAATACTTTGTACTGCATCCACAATCAATATAATACAAGCAGGAAGACCAGCTCGGGACCCCCTGGCCGAGATCTGTTCGATTTAGCTCCCACGCCCCCTAGATGGGGAGAGGTTCTCCCCTTTGGCCCTTGGCCTTCATGGTGCCTGGAGGGGCGAGAGACCCTCGCCCCTCCGAGATGGGATATCTCGCTGATTTCTTCTTTGCTACACGTGTGTTTTTTGACCTTTCACCGTTTCTTTTATAGCCGGAGATTCGTAACTCTAACTGGGCCAAAATTTTGAGGGAATTTTTCTCTTGAAACTGACTTTCTTGCGGCGAAAGAAGGGCTTCAACCGACCTAAGGGCTGCCCACAAGCCGGGGGCGTGCCGGGCTGGCTTGTGGGGGCACCATCTTGCATTGATTCTTTTCTAAAAAAATTATATATATTTTTCATAAAAAATCACCGTAATTTCCTGTGGCATTTTGACCTTCCCAGAATTTGATTTTCCGTGAAACAAAAACTATGCAGAAAATACTATAATAATAAGTTAGTCCATAAAAGTGCAGCAGAACCATATATAATTGATCCGCCTGAGAGGGCTTGCCTCATCGCGGCCATAAGTGGCGGTTGTTGTGCCTTCATGGGCTCCGTGCTATACTAACCAGCCAGATGGATACTTCCTTGACGGCTGTAATTATCTAACTGGGCTATCACTTTGGGCTTATGTTCTGCGGTGGGCTGGTGTCAATTGAATTTTTTTGCTGGGGTCAAACACACAAATCGCTCAGGCCATTAGCTTGATGCCTCGAACGGCATTGGTGTCAATTTGGCGGGGGACGCCTTCTTGCTGATTCCCACGGTCTTCATGACGATGTCAGAATCGGCGGAGACATGTTGCTGCTGATCGACGGTGATCTCCTTTGTCTGCGGCATGTCGATGTTGTCATGCTTGTGCAGGGCGTCTCTGACCTTGTCGAGCTCGTCCTTCATCGACGCCCTCCACCCGCTCACGAGGCCACTTGCTAGGACGCGGACGCGCTCCGACCCGTGCCTACGCAGCGTGCAGACGGACTTGGCGAGGTCCGTGGAAGCAACACCCTTGCTCTCCAAAACTGATCTTCGTGAAGTTTCAGATCATTTTGAGAACTTTTATTTCTGCACAAAAATAACACCATGGTAATTCTGCTGAAAACAACGTTAGTTCGGGTTAGTTTCATTCAAATCATGCAATTTAGAATCCAAAATAAAAGCAAAAGAGTTTGGAAAAATAGATACGATGAAGATTTATCAGTCACGGTCACATGCTAACCCTTGCTCTATAGATAAAACCAGTAGCTTGGGCTAGCGTGTATAGTCCCCTGGCGTCGGGCCCTCAATAAAGTCCATCGTGGCCATATCCCATGGTTTGTCTTTCTTAATGCCGACCCCGATGTTGATCTACCGTGCTTATTATGATATTTTATTTAATTCATACCACTCAAAACCTACGCCATTGGCTGAGCCACTTTGTACAACTCCTAGTTACAAAACCTTATTAATCTAAGTGATTCCTTGTCGACGGGTAGCTATTGCTTACAAGAGCGGATGCAGAAATGGGACACGTGAAGGTGAAGCAAGAGACTCATACCCATGGTCATCTAATTGATCTATTCGGCTTCGGTACTGAAATGAAAAGACCACCGAAGAGCTTTTTCTAGAATTGCACAGTAGCATTCTTCCTTTACTATAGGTCAAATTTACATGCTTGTTTATTATCATTTTGTTTGTAGCTGACATTGTTATAGGATTTATCTTTGTATTTGTCATGTCTCCCCTTCACGTTGTTTGCTTGATCACTCTAGCATCGTTGGTGAGCGTGTGGAGGTGTTTCTCCGGCGAATTTGTCCTTGGTAGATTTGCATAATCCGACCGTAGTTCACTTCCTTCGTGTGTCTTCAGGTTGGATACTTCCGATCTATGCTACTCTTAAACGACTGCAATTGATGTTCTGGTGCGCTGGTCCTATGTAGTTTTAACACAACGACTTTTCGTTTGTCTACTACAATAAATTTTTCTGGCTCAGGCGAGGGAGGGACGATGACGGCGGCGCGCCATCGGCTCACTTCAGTGCTTGTAGTCGTCATTAGGTGTCTATGGATCTGGATGTAATCGATCCTGTGAAATCGACCACGTATACTAGGCCCTCGACGTGTTCAAGATGAAATCCTCCGAAGATTTAGCGTACACTTCAAGGCATATTCAAATAGTTGGCATGTTATATCTAGATGTAACCGACCCTGTGTAACCCTAGGTACCCTCGGGCAGAATATAAGCCAAGGGTTTTGTTGGTAGAAGCAAGTTAGATTCATTCATACGATCTTGAGGTAGGTCATCGTGTACTTTGTGCTCCATCCACAATTAATACAATACAAGCAGGGAGACCAGCTCAGGACCCCCTAGCCGAGATCTGCTGGATTTAGCTCCCACACCCCCTAGATGGGGAAAGGTTCTCCCCTTTGGCCCTTGGCCCCCATGGTGCCTGGAGGGACGAGTGCCCCTCACCCCTCCGAGATGGGATATCTCGCTGATTTCTTCTCTGCTTCACGTGTGTTTTTAGTCTTTCACCGTTTCTTTTATAGACGGAGATTCGTAACTCTGACCGGGCTAAAATTTTGAGGGGATTTTTCTTGCGGCGAAAGAAGAGCTCCAACAGACCTAAGGGCTGCCCAGCCTGGCTTGTGGGGGCACCATCCTGCATTGATTCTTTTCTAAAAAAATTATATATATTTCATAAAAAATCACCGTAATTTCCTGCGGCATTTTGATCTTCCTAGATTTTGATTTTCCATGAAACAAAAACTATGCAGAAAATAGGAACTCACACTGGGCACTATATTAATAAGTTAGTCCATAAAAGTGCACCAGAACCATATATAATTGATGTAAATATAGCATATGAACACTTCATAAATATAAATACGTTGAAGACGTATCAGTCTTCGGCGGATCTGTCCTTGGTGGATTTGCACGGATCTGGACGTAATCCGCTTTCTTCGTGTGTCCTCTGGTTGGGTACTTCTGGTCTAAGCTACTCTTCAACAGCAGCAGTTGTTGTTCTGGTGCTTCTTTTTGAAACTATGATGATTTTTATAGCAAATTCGGAAACTGTACGACCTAATGCATAAAAATCAAAACTATGACCCCGTCGGCCTTCTGTTGGCCGAAGAGGGACTTTTCGGCCTACCGTTGGCCGAAGTGGGCTCTTCAGCCTCTCATTTGCCAAAGAGTGCCCAACTGGTCCGAAGAGCACTTTTCGGCTTCCCGTTGGCCGAAAAGTCTCAGGGGCACAAAACGTAATTAAGATGGCCTCAAATGAAAAAGTTATCAACATGAAAAATCTTTGTCTCGTCGAAACGGTTGATTTTGATATAAAAAACGTCTTAATCCGACATCGTATGCAACCTGTGGAGCCAAAACAAGTTCAGGGGCAGAAGCCGCAGAGTTACTTCGGACAGACCGAATGGATGTCAGAAAATTTGTCACGGGACACCCGGTGCACTCTGTGAGACCATGTGGAATCCAGAAGAGTACACAAGTTTGATCACGTTCACTCTGTGAGACCGAAACAAACCACTCGGAGGCTCCGAATGGCTCGAAACAAACTTGTTAGGTCGATGAAGAGAAGCCCAAATAAATATTTTGGTCATTCTGTAGGATTCCAGATTATGGTAGGACACTGGGACATGGAGTATATGCTCCCGAGCTCAAATGCTCCCTCATAAATAGTAAAATCACAAAAATAGTAAATAAATTCAAAAAATTCAAAAAATTCTGATTTTTTTTCACGGTAAACTTTGACAAATCTTTAGCATGCTTGCAAAATTTCAGCACGAAATAACATTCGTGGAAGTCGTGGCAAAAAAACGATGTTCCAAAATGCTAGTTTTGAACACATTTTGGAGTGACGATTTTGTTTTTTTTGTCACGCGTTCCACGAATGTCATTTCGTGCTGAAAATTTTGCAAGCGTACAAAACATTTGTCAAAGTTTATCACAAAAACATTACAGATTTTTTTGAATTTTTATCTATTTTTTCGATTTTACTGTTCATGCGGATTTGAGCTCGGAAGCATAATAGTACTTTCGAGGACCTACATCATTTGGGGATAGAAAGGATGCATGGGGTCGCTGCTGTTGTTTATCAGTGGTGACCATGGAGTTAACTGGCTCTCATGGTCTGCACATAAGAACCGAATCAGTAATGTCATTTCGTCATGTATAAAAGGGGAATCTTGTACACCTGTAAATATTTCCTCAACATGAAGGATGCCACGATCTCACAAGCCTTTCTCAGTCAAAATACCTAGATGTGTAAACTAAAGAAGACAAAACCTAATACACGTCAGTTCAAACTGTAAAAAAAAAACAATGACATTTTCCTATGCAATCAATCCAACTTGCAAACCTCAGATTTTTCTTTTACTTTTTTGTGGTTGTATATCTTGGTTTGTCGTACATATGTACCCCCTCCGTCCCATAAGAGGATTGTTTTGTCAATTTTGATTGAATTCAAATTGGACTACAAGTCTGAGCACGGACATGAGAACTCAAAATTGTACTAAAAGGGAATGCTTATTGATTGCTTACTGCTTAGGTACGTGCAGAATTGCAATCCGACACAAACACATCTTTCCCAACAAGAAGAGTATTTTTCTTTTTTTGCCGATTTCAGCAGATTTGTAACACCGAATCTCGCTTTCAGTTCATCGTACAGAACAGGCAAGCAAGCAAGAAATTGCACTGCAGTACTGCATGATCGAAAAGAAGGATACAGAAACACTAGTTTAGATATTTCCAACTGGTTGAGCTAGATCCCTAAGCCATGTGAAGCTGCGTCTTGATCGCGAAGGTTTTCTTGACCATGGAGCTGGTGCACCTCCTGATTGGCTGCATCATCTTGGGCGCCTGCACCAACTGCGTCCTGCGCCGCCGTTTGGCGTCCTCTGCTTCTTGGTAAGCTTGGTGGAACTTGCGTTTCGCAGCTTCCATCTTCTCCTCGGAGCAGAGCCCAGCACGGTCACCGGCGGGGGACGCCTTCTTGCTGATTCCCACGGTCTGCTGATCGATGGTGACCTCCTTGTTCTGCGGCACGTTGATGTTGTCAAGCTTGTGCAGAGCGTCTCTGACCTTGGCGAGTTCGTCCTTCATCGACGCCCTCCACCCGCTCACGAGACCTCTGGCCAGGACGCGGACGCGCTCCGACTCGTGCCTGCGCAGCGCGCAGACGGACTTGCCGAGGTCCGTGGAGGCCAACACGCTTGGCATCACCGGAACCAGCCGCAGCGTCTCAAGGGACTCCGCCATGTGGTCGTCGAGAATCTTGCAGAGGCGCTCCGCCTGATCGTCGTCGGCGGCGTCGCAGAGCTGCTCCACGATGTTGACCCTGGCGCGCCGGAGCTCGTCGCGTGAGTGGTCAGGGTCGGAGGGCTTGATGGCGGCGTCCACAGAGTCGAAGGCGCGGAAGAAACGCTTCCATCGGCGGAGCGGGCTGCTCTGCGTGGGCGCGGCCATGGCGTGGCGGCGGACGCGAGCTCTGTCCTCTGTGTGACCTAGCGCTAGCGGTGGTGCTCTTGTCTCGCGTGGCAGGGAGAAGGTTGGGCGATCAAGGAAAGCGATGAATTCTGCTGTGGATGTAGTACGCTTATATAAATTCTGATGATGATGTGCAAGTCGAGCTCCACTCCAATTCGGATCGAGGAAGCGCGTCCGGAATCCGAGTTCAACATGGACACACCGGCAGACGCGTGAATCCGTCCGGCCAGGGCGAGGATGTGTTACGCGAGCGCCACGAAAACTTACCATCCACCGTCCGCCGCGACCTGCTCAAATGCAAATCCTCCACCTGATTCTTCTCTCCAGACATAAGGTCAGCTCAAACGTGGCAACCCATTTCTGCAGCTGCGTCCGTTTGGCTCCGCGCGAATAAAAATGCACCTAAACGCGAAGACGTAAAGGAACGTGTGTCATTTTTTTTTTCGATGTGACCCATTTTCAGCCTAAATTTGAGCTGGGTTTACTTCGGCGCGGATACCTGCAACGCCCTCCCTTATCCTTCCATGACCCCGTTCATCGGCGGGGCGTCCACCCCATCCCCCTCCCTCTTCCCCAAAACCCTCCTGCCCTTGCGCCATAGATGACACGCCCAATCCCTTCGCCGCCTCCACCCCAGACGTCACGACCAACAGCGTGGCCGCTGATGCCATGCGCCCAAAGAAGAAGCTGAAGAAGGAGCTCACGCCGGAGTAGAGGCCCGCCGAAATGGTGAAGAGGGCTTGTGGCGGCAGACCAAAAAGATGTCGCCACCGCCCGCGCTGCAGTCGAGGCCGCGCGGGGCTAGGACACCGATGCGGAGACTGATCTCATCATCCACAGTGTGCCCTTCTCATGCTAGGGATTCGTGGCGAGCCCATTCCTGGCATACACATCAGCAAACAAGATCGGAGTATGAGGCCATGGGGTGCGACATGCGAGGTCGTGGATGAGGCAGCACTCAAGGAGCGGAAGGTTGAATGGGGAAGTAGGGAACAATCGCCGCGAGCAAGTCGGGGAGGAAAGCAACGATGGTGGCTTGCTTGAGAGAACGGAGTGCACTAGCAATGAGTGGGGAGGACGAGGAGCAACAACAAGGACGTATGTGGGGGATGGAGGAGAGAGGATTTAGGCTGGAGATTTTTCTCGGTTAACTTATTTTTTTCCCATTTGGAGGAGATTCTTCTCATTGTTTTTGAGGGGCAAAATTTTTTAGGAGAAGGTCTAGAAAGGGTTTAGAATTTTAGAGAAGGGCTAGAGATGCTCTAACGGCCAGTTCCTAAACTTACATGCAGCACTTCTTGGTCAGTAAAGATTAGAAGCCACTTGGATGATAAACCATACAAGAATAAGAGACAGACGATAATAAGAACAAGGGTTTAATATTCCACATGCCTGTATCTGTGTTCTTTACTCTTTCTTCTTTCAAACTACTAGTTACCACCAGGTGGAAGCAGAAAAATAACACCACCTAGTTATCGACATTTCCCTTTTTTCCTTTGAACAAATGTATGTCCCACGCTTGTGATAAAAATAAGAGAAAAGTTCACATTACAACCCACACGGTTAAATATTCAACCCTTAACTCTTAAACCGGTCATCCCACGCCTCAAACTAACCATCCGGTTCAGGAATCAACCCTCCACCCGGTTTTGACTCAGGTAAGCAGTTATGACCATGTTGACTACTGAGTTGGCACCGCCACGTCAGATTTTGATCTCCTCCTTACACGTGGGACCCGCCCAAGAAAAAACAAAAATAAAAAACTACATCTCTCTTTCGATGCCTTGACTCCTTTGTTCTTGTGTGACCCGACTACCGGCTTGTAGTGGACGAACAGGGACTTGTCGCCGCCAGCAGCACGTCACCCGAGCTGCACGCTCCAGCTCCGGTCGATTCCCCCACCCACAACCACGAACTCCCGTAGCCCTCTAACATCGACTGTCGTCGTCGCGTACAAGCTCTCGCTCCGGCCGCTCCTCACTCCACGCTCTTCTTCCCCTTCTATTCCGCGCATGCATCTAGCCATGGCGGTGTGCTCTGGTCGGGCCTCGTCGGCCTGCACAATGTGGAATGCTTGCCATCGAGGGAGGCTGGGGCCAGGGCAGAGCAACCCCCCCAAGCTCCCCAAAGGAGGCCCAGATCTCGCATTGGAGGCGCGGTGTCAGAGGAGATGGCTTCCCGTGTCATCGTGGACGGCCGTCAAGTGTGCATGCAACCACATTGTCGTGTGCGTGCAGTCCGCGCCGCTGCATCGTGTCAAGGCCCTGCATGGTGTAGTCCGATTCACTGCCTCCGCCGTTCATTGCGGCGCTCATGGGCATCCTCGGCCTCCCCGGCACACGGTAGGTGGGTGGCCATAGATCCGAGCCATCGAAGCCAGCGAGGAGGTACATCCTCTTGAAGGATTCCGACAGGGTGAATCAATGCTACGAGGAGAGCGTAAGTGGGGATGGCATGCGGCAAGGAGTGTGCATTTTACCCACATGTAGGGGGTGTCAAATGGTGACATGGAAGTGCCTAGTCAGCAGCTAACATGGTCAAAACCACTCAATGAGTCAAAACCGGGCGAAGGGTTTATTTTTGAACTGGATGGTTAGTTTGGGGTGTGGAATAACCGGTTTTGAAGTTGAGGGTTGAATATTAAACCGAATTAATACTACCCTTGCCAACGATTAGAATTAAAACTTGAGACTTGTGAGCTAATCCAGAAGCTCGTGGATCGGCCGGACCTATTCACAAACAAGTTGAGCGGAGTCTGAATCGAAACTTGCTAATATACCGAGTTTAATGAGCCGAGCTAATGAGTTACTCGCTTAACTCATTGGGCTAGTTAATCAGAAGGGGCAAAAAATAAGTAGTATATTGTTGTTGAGTGTTGTTTTCTATGTTGTGAACCATGTGCCTGTTTGTTGTAAGTTATTTATTTGTTTAGTAAAATGGCGAAGTATCAAGTGAAAACGTTCGTTCACTGAAAACTGAAAACTCTCTTCGTGCGCCACTGGATCGAGGACCTACGGTATAGAAAAAAGGTGAAAACTAACCACGCACTTAATCCCAGTTTTGCAGCTAACCCCCTGCTAACAATAGTTATCCACAGGAGAGGGCGTACTCGTTATCCCCTTCTTAGTTCTCCATCCTCGCGAGGGCGACCAGGGAGCGCCGGTGACTGACTGCGGCGGCTATTCGGCGGCGACTGACTGCGGCGGCTATTCAACGGCGACTGACTGCGCGGAGGCCGCGGTGGAGCCCGATGCGATCTCCATGGTGGCCCCACGCAAGGGCGACCTAGTGCTGCTCCCACGCGAGGAGACCTAGAGGCCGCGTCCTCCGCATCGCTGCCCTTCTTCTGCACACGCGTTGGAGGCGGCAGCGGCAGCGGCGCTGGCCCGTCGACCCGACGACCTGGTGCTGCTCCCAGCGAGGGATGTTTAGAGAAATTGTGGATGTTTTGCTGTATAGGGAAATGGCTGATGTCGATGTTCAGAGAAATTATAGATGTTTTGCTGTACAGAGAAATGGTCGATGTTTTCCTGCAACTGATTAAACGCCATGAATGAATGTGGATGTTCACACACATGACACATCCTTTTTGTTTTGCTGCACCTTTTTGTATATGAATGTACAGAAAGATCCTGAATGAATGTGGATGTACAACAGATCTTTGTTCTTTTGCTATTGTTGTACATACTGAAATTGCAGATTTTCAGAACGATTGTGAATTGGTTACAGTTAGCTTTCCCATTGCTCTGGAGGTGCTGTACGACAGCTAGTTGAGCAACTTTCTTTCAGTAACATGGATTCTACTGTACTTCCCTAGTTCCCTGCGATGCATGGGCGTAGAGCACTGGCTCATGGCCGCGGCCGACGGAGGGCAGGGGAACACGACCGAGACCGGCGGAGGGCGGGGGCTCATGGGGATGGCCGGAGGACGGCAGGGAATCACAGCCGGCTGAGTGCTAGCGCTGCTGGACGGGGCGGCCGTCGGAGAGCTAGGGCATATGGCGATCGGCGCACGACTAGACTCATGGAGGTTGTACAGAGCACGATTCGTTTTCCCTTTTTTGGGGGTGAATTGTTACCAAGAAAGGACCTAAATGCAGGGGGTTAGCTGCAAAACTGGGATTAAGTGCGTGGTTAGTTTTCACCTTTTTTCTGTACCGTAGGTCCTCGATCCAGTGGCGCACGAAGAGAGTTTTCAGTTTTCAGTGAACAAACGTTTTCACTTGATACTTCGCCAAAATATGCTGTCATAAATATATTTGTGTAGTTTGTTGTATACATAATATATATAGTACTTTGTTGTTAAAGTTTGTCATGAGATAAACAAGCTAACTCATGAAGTGCACAAGTTGAGCCATGTTTGAATATGAACCCGCTATCCTAATTAATGAGCCGAGCCAAATTAATACGTTATCTTAACAAGCTCCAAAGAGTCGAGCTAAATCGGCTCGTCTCGACTTGAATTCCGGCCCTACATGCCAAGTCTTCTTATGAAGTTGCCCCAAAAATGTATTAATCTTTTAGCCTCCATGACTGTTTGTTAACCATGGGAAGATCTAATGTACCAAAGCAAAAGCTAAACACATAGATCTTACTGACAAATGTCGGTTTTGCGAAAGTTTAACGAAACTCGTCTTAACATTTGAGAGATAAACGTCGTTCAGGTTTGCCAAGGAGTTGTCGTAGAGTATTGAACGACAATTGAAAAACCACTGACTGCCTCGTATCCACCGGCGGTTGGAGACCAGCTATCCGACAGAGGACATAACCCGTTAGATACAATCGCGGCCAGTTCACCTGGGCATTATGCCAGCGATGGTCAGGAAGTTGGCCCGTGGATGAGACTACGCTCCACCAGCAGTTGTTCACTGCATTACTTCTCTTTGTTTTTTCCTTTTAATTTTTATGTTGTGTTTCTTTTTTTATTGTTTTGTTAACTAGATGAACACTTCATAAATTTGCAAATATGCTGTAAAGAT